AATATCGGGCCCAGTACAGTGCCTTGGGGCACGCCGCTGCTCGATGGATACCACTCAGTTAGATGGTTGTCCACCTGGACTCTCCACTTCCGATCAATAAGGAAATTGCTGATCCATTTGTGCAGCGAACCACCAACACCGCACATCCTCAGTCTGTCAAGGAGCACTGCATGGTTAACCTTGTCAAAAGCCTTACTGAAGTCAATGTAAATGACGTCAACCGATTGGCCTTTGTTCAGTGCTTGTAACCATTCGTGCCTCGTCAACAGTAGGTTGGTGATGCACGAACGACCTTTCAGGAAACCATGCTGTGCGGAGGTTAACAGGTTTTTCGACTCGAGAAGTTGCAGAAGGCTCTTCTTCACGATCTTCTCGAGCGTCTTTGCCAAAACTGCCGTCAGGCAGATCGGCCGGTAGTTATCTACTTTGCTTGCGTTACCACCTTTCGGGATAGGCTTTACGACTGAGCATTTCCAGTCGTCCGGTAGTAGACCAGTGGATAGTGCCCTGTTAAACAGTTCAGTTACGGAAGGCGCGATGATGGTCGATAATGACTTGAGGAGTAGTGGGTGTGTACCATCTGGCCCAGCAGGTTTCGTCCCGTCAAGATTTGCTAGAATCTTGCGCACATCCTCAATATTGCAGTCCAGGCTGTTAAGTTCGGCTGGAGCGGTACTCGTCGAACTCGATACTGACACCTGGACCCTTACAAATACAGTGGCGAAGTGCGTCGCCAATACGGAAGCACGATCTGTACTCGAGGTTAGGGGCTTTTCGTTGGAGCCTTCTGACACTGGAATATTGGCTATATGCCTTAGGCGCCGCTTCACATATGCGAAAATCCTCTTGGGAGCAGTTTTTGCGGCAGTTGCAAGCTCCTCTTCGAAGCTTCTGCGTTTGCTTGTTTTCGCCTTGTTGCAGCGATTTCGCTGTACCTTATACGCTTTATAGTCCTCATCAGAGCCAGAGACCACGAATTTGTTCCATAGTCTACGTCGCCGTCGGGCCATTTTGTTGTACTCTTTGTCAAACCAATGTGGTTTGACTGGCCCAACTTTCCGAAATTTGAGGGGCACAAATCGGGCGCACAACCATTTCACTCCCTCTTTAATGATAGCCCAACAGGTTTCAATAGATGAATCCTGTGGTAAAGACCAGTCTATCTGGCTCGCTGCTCGAATGAGGCCATTAAAGTCCGCCTTCCAATAGTTGAAGGTTGACTCTAGTGGCAGAGGATACGGTAGAGGTAGTTCTAAACTGCCTATGATCACTGAGTGGTCACTCGCTCCCAGAGGCTCTAAGACTTGAATGTTATGTACACGCTGCTCACAGCTAGTCAACAGCAGGTCTAAGCATGATGGAGTCGCGCGCGCAGTAATGCGTGTCGGTTGGTTGATGTGCTGTGTGGCCGCGGTTTCAAATATCAACTCCGTAAACTTCCTCTCGACTTCGCAGTGGCCGGGGAGAAGTTCAGCTTCAGGCCACTGTATTCGGGGCAAGTTGCAATCGCTCATGAGTAGGAACATCGGACGACTCATGTGGTTGCGGACATGCGGCAACCAGTCCAAACTGCGGCTCAGTGGGCTGCGATATACCACGCCCACGTGCAACTCGCAGCGTCTGAGGTGAATCGAACACCATAACTGCTCACATAGACCATCAGCGCTTTGGTAGGCGCTCACTAGTCTTCCACACAAGGAAGACATTATGTAAAGTAGAACGCCAACGCGAACATTTGATGGTCTATCGCAGCGGAAGCATGAGTAGCCGGTGATTTCCTGTTCCTGGATGGTTACCTCGGAGTTTAATCATGCTGATGGTGATGATAATTATGAGGATGAGGATGATTATGTTGATGATGATGAGTATGATGATGATGCTGAGGATTATGTTGATGATGATGATGATGATGATGATGATGATGATGATGATGATGATGATGATGATGATGATGATGATGATGATGATGATGATGATGATGATGATGATGATGATGATGATGATGATGATGATGATGATGATGATGATGATGATGATGATGATGATGATGATGATGATGATGATGATGATGATGATGATGATGATGATGATGATGATGATGATGATGATGATGATGATGATGATGATGATGATGATGATGATGATGATGAGGATGATGATGATGATGATGATGATGATGATGATGATGATGATGATGATGATGATGATGATGATGATGATGATGATGATGATGATGATGATGATGATGATGATGATGATGATGATGATGAGGATGATGATGATGATGATGATGATGATGATGATGATGATGATGATGATGATGATGATGATGATGATGATGATGATGCTGATGATGATTGATGATGATGATGATGATGATGATGATGATGATGATGATGCTGATGATGATGATGATGATGATGATGATGATGATGATGATGATGATGATGATGATGATGATGATGATGATGAGGATGATGATGATGATGATGATGATGATGATGATGATGATGATGATGATGATGATGATGATGATGATGATGATGATGATGATGATGATGATGATGATGATAACCTTATGTTTATTTTCTTGGTGCATTCACACATCCAACCCACTATTTTGCTTTGATAACCTTGTTCATATCCTAAACTCTCAGAGCTCAAAATTTCGCGGTGTTTTGTAACGGAGCATTTTAAATATATGTGTCGTCTTTTTTCAACCATGGAATTTTCTCGGATTGACGTGGGGTTGTTAGCGTTCACTAAGTGTAAATCCCTTTATGATATACCAAACACTAGCAATCACACTCATAGAAACCGCTATCTTGTAAGCTCAGCCTATTCAATAATATGAAATGCCGTTGCTTAAAATTTACTCTGCAATGTCATCTTATTGTGTGATATCGAATTTAGTTCTGCCTTTGTGAAAGCTTATTGCGGAAATTCCTTCCAAACTCAGTTATCCGTGACCCCACTTCTTTTTGTCCCTAAAACTTTACGTATAATTGTCAGCTCCTTACATTCTGTGACATGAGTGACTATTATGGAATGTGTTTCTGGTAACTAGGGTTGATAAAATTATCTACACTGATGTATTTAAAAAGGTGTAGAACAGTGGATTATTCTTGATTTTAAACATTATTTGAAACCATTTATTTTTCGCTTATTTTGTTCCCATTTCATTTCAATGCCATTTCATTTCGATAATCCAGTTTTTTCCCTAAAGCGCATTTTATTTTGTCCACAAATGCAGTGTTGGAATTTGCAATTTCCTTGCTCAACAAGTTAAGCAATCTATAATCTCATGTTTTTATATCCGTCCTATACCATTGCTTCAGAGTTTCACTATGTGATGTGGGTGTCAGATCAGAGTGAGCGAATGGATCAACCTAGCAAGCCAGAAAATTTATGGGAGTGCGACTCAACAGATTTGATTACCGGACCCGAATTGACCGATATTCGTGCGTGGGATTCACCGTTTGTTTAACTAAAGCATTGAGGAACCTCATCGAGTTAGAAGGGTAGCTAATTATGCACTTGAGCGCGCAAATTAAATCGAAGAGTAGAGCTTGCCAAACGTGTAATTTTCGCGGAACTAACTTTCTTTATTAAACGCTTGTCCATGAAGGACTGAGTTCTTCAGCCTGGTGTCAGGGAAGACAAGACGAACCACACCAGAGGTGCTCCAATGCTGCTATTAAGATGCCTGGCCCATTGAACATGGATGAAAGGAATTTGGCGAATAATTGAAGTCCATGGAGGAGCAAGTGAATGGATACCTGCACCACGGTACCTTTGGATGAGCAATCGATGGCGTAGCAATTAACCATGTTTCGATTCGCAGCCAGGAATCACTCGCGCCGAGTGCTGGAGATATTGCAATACGGCAAAACCAAAGACCCCAATAATTTGAACACGTTAACGTAAAAATTCAATGAACTTTGCCAACTCCAAACCAACGAGACCAACCGGTGTTTTCTTTGCGCGCAATAGAAGCCCAGAAGAATCCGATGACGCGTACCTCACTGTGTTGAAGATCTCGGTCCGATCCTGAAGTTTCTATAAACGCATTGGTGACAGTCTCCTACGCGAAAGGATCATTCTAGAAATAAATGAAGAAACTATGACAAAGAGGCTTTCTCGACAACGTAAATTATCACTCCAACAGTGCATTGATGTCCGCAACATTTAGTTCTTTACCACCTATCAATACCACCAAGTGAAGCTCTCTACTGATGCAGTTGTGTGCCGTTTCCGAATACAACGCATTGAAGGCTATCAACATGAGACAGGAGATATCCAGATTTTGAGTCGCGCGATATCCGAGCTTCCGCAATGTCTGTCGTAAGGTCGGACATGCGCCAGATTTTGGGGAAGGAATCCCTTTGCTCATTCCTGCCAACCAACCAATGTGGGTGCAGTCTTTCGTGACAAGTCACCCGCAGATATCGAACATTAAATTGACGACGTGTCTCGGAGGGTACGGCAAAAATGTTCTGCGCAAGTCTTATGACCCGAAGGCAAAGCCTTACGATTCAAGTTAGGCACGGGAGTTACTGTCCACATTCTACCTGTCCCGGAGTGCACATGCGCATGTGCAATGTTTCCAGATCACATCCAGATAGCTCAGCAACAATCGAATTGGTAACCCAAGAGTCAGAACCTCACATCGACTGCGATTTGTGCTCGTGAAGTAGAAGCTCACGCCTATTCTTGGCGTTTATTCGATCCACTCTCTTGATTTTGTTGTTTGTAATCATGATCGTTTCGTGCATACCTGCCAGGGAGAAA